TCCCATGGTTTAATATTTTGAAAAGTGATTTTTATTTTCACTTCCATATACATCTTTATGTCTGTCTAACTGCACTGCTGGCAAGACAAGGAGGTAACAAAAAAATGGATGAGTTGTTGTTCTGATTTAATCTTAGGTAACTTTTGAGTGTCACTTTACTGACGTAAAACAGTGCTGATGGATCACTGGTCACTGAGAGTGTGTAGTTAAGAAAATAGAAAGCAAGAGGCCAAGAGAAAAGAACAAAAATATAAGGATTAAAAGATTGTTACCATATGGCACTATATTTGTTGTTGGTACTTAGCTTTTCTAAGGAAATAGAGCAGAACTTAATGAAGGGAATCATTCTCTCACTTGCTCTGGTTCCTCAAGAAGAAAGGGACATTGGCAGAACCAGGCAAAATTGTGTCTCTGAAACCTTCAGCCTTGCTTATCTGAAATGCATTTGAAGGTATTAAATCAAATCTAGTGTATATCCTACCGTGGTAATGTAATTTTAGCCCATATGTCACAAGGAATTACACTATCCCTGGACAGTAATGTTTTGATCATTCCCTTTAGAATAACATCTTGTACCTTATTACTGATGCCCGCTGTCCTGATGCTCAGACAACCATGGATCTCTTGTTTACAGGCAGTTAAACCAAGTGATGCATGCAGCAAACTCATTCTTCTTTTTGTCATGGTACTCCACAGTATCCAAAATGTTGTACAATGTCTGTCTTCAGCTGCTAAATGTAGCCCAATGTGACTTTGGTCACTAGAATTATCGTTTTCATTTTCAACAGTATTTAAAAATTTGATAGAGAAAAGAGGTAATGGCAGAGATTATTAGACTTTTTATTTCTCTGTAAAGTTGAGACACAGGAATGCTTTGTATATAGCTTTTTTACCCTTATCCATTGACAGTGTCAGTAGTAGTGTTTTAAATCCTGTTTTTATGAGTGGAATATTATGAAGGGGGAATAACTTCTTAAGTAAAGAAATCTATTTCATTGTTGAAGTTATGATCTCCTTTTTCCTCATACTTCTCATCTGTGGTTTGCTTTTGGTGATAGGCTTTTTTATATGTTCAAAATGTACATAGGTTAGTTCAGCAATTCTTTATAGTAAAGCAGGTAACTAGGGAAGATGCTGAATATGGGCACATTTGTCATGAAAAAAAGCCCACTCATGTCAAAACGGAGCCATACTGAGTAGTCTTGGAAACTTAAATAAGTAATAGTAAATATAGATTCCACTTATTCAGTGTTCTGATGGAACTAGAACTTCTAATTTCTCATGGTGGTTTTTTGTTGTTTTTGGGTTTTTTGGGTTCTTTTTTTTTTTCCTGCTAATTGGATGTCTTTGGTTTTGTTATTAGTAAAACAGAAGATTTAATGGAAAAGAAAATGAGATTTTTTTATTTTTCTTTTTTTAAAACTTTAGCTACTTTAAAGTATTTGCACTCTTAATTCCTGACTTTCTATCTGAAGGTGCATAAGGCTGAACCAGATATTTATTATCACACTCACAGACCACGTTGGATCCTCAACTGTTCAGAGCTACCTTAATGAGGATAAAGGGGTATGTAGCTGTCCTAGAAAAAGATGCGTTCTTGCTACAATGAGCTGCAAGGCATTAGGACTGTGAAGAATTCCACTGTTCCTCTTGGACAATGTTCCTAGGTAGTTGCTGTGGGTAAAAGCGTCTCCTGAAAAATATCCCTGAACTATGCTGTGGAATGTTCCATTAAAACAGTTTATGAAATTGCAGGCACTTCCTTGAACATAGATACATATTTTTCTATGTGTAACTACATGAACTGAATAAAAATAGTATTCTATTGTACCTCCCCATCACTGTATTGTTGAAGATGGTAATGTATCTTTTATTTTAAAGATACTTACATTAGTTTTTTAAAACTAGGTATAATCTTTGTATTCAAGTATTAGAAATTGCAAATGGAGAGCAGGAGCAGCACAGCTCACAAGGCAATTTTTTTTTTCCTTGGGATGAATTCAGATCTCTATAGCATAGTCAATTTGTGTGGTTGCAGTCAAAATTCTGATGAAATTATTGAAATTCTGTGTATATGAGATGGTTGAAGGATGTAACAAAAATGCACAGTTGAAGTTTTGCACACTGACTGCATGTGTACAAAGCACCCACCACCTTTCTGTTCCATGCAACTTGCCTTCTGCTGACTTTGCTTCATGACAGCATGGCTTATAAATCTCTACATGGTACTCCTGGTTTTGTTGGAGCTGACTGTCCTTGCCCTTTTCCATGTTGCACCATGGACTTATGCAATGGCACAAGATGGCATCATGTTTTTGTGGTTCTTTCCTAATCATTCCCTGACCACTGACTTGTTTGGGCAGTCAGCTAATGTTTTTATCAGCTCATCACCCTACAGTGCTCTTGAAGGGGGTATCAGAGTTGGGAACGGAGTGAAGTGGAGCCTGGGAGAAAGACTGGGAAAAAGTGTTGTAGTTTTTGTCTTGGTTTCTCATAATTTACATCTCTTTTAATAAATTAAGTTACTTTTCCCCAAATTGAGTCTGTTTTGCGCGTGATAATGATTGGTAATTGATTTCCCTGTCTTTGTCTCGACCCATAAGCTTTTTCCTACTTTCTCCCTGTGTCCTGTTGAGAAGGGGCAGTGAGGGAGCAGCTGACTGGCAGCTGGCCATGGTCACCACCCCATTTGCCAAGGTGTAGAATAGAGCGGGTATTAATGTAGATTGTGAAACTTCACTGCTGACTTCCTTGCAGAAACTGTTGACTTCTACTTTGTTTCCAATCTTTGTATACACGTTGCACAGTAAATACCTCATATCCTATCTCAGGGATATTTAATACCCTGCAGAGCTGTAGTGCAGAAACTTGCATCTCCCTTCCTTATTCATTCCTGTTTATTGATTCTTTTGTTGTGAGATGGGATTTTTCCTTCTCATTACATAAAGGCATATGGCTATGTCTGCCGTGTACTCTTGATTTGTATATCTGTGCCTTCTGAATGGTTTTTATTGAACTGTGCAGTTGAGTTTTCCCCACCGTCCTTTCTTGAGAGTACTAGTTTTGCTTTCATCTCTATTCCTAACCATTGATTATCAGAGGAAAGCAATTTTTTGGTAGTTTTGGGCTCTTTCAAATGTCAGTGAATTCCAAAATTATTAGGCAGAGAGGGATGGAGAACAGAGTGGAAAGGCAATCATAAAGGCTTTCTTAGTTTGAAATATGAACAAAAAACAAGAGCAGTGTCATGTAACAGTGAATTATTTTCTTTCTTCCTTAGATAGGCTGTCCTCATAATAAATACAACCTGGAAATTGGCAGTTTTCTGAGTTTCGTATAAAGCCAGTGCAATGAACAGCTCTGATGCAACACATTACAAAAGATGAAGGCTACTTCTGTTTATCCAGGATTGGAGACAGTTACGCATTTCTGCAGAAAAAAAACCAAAAAACAAAGAGTTTATAATAGCAAGGATGTATAATCTATTAATTATGCAAGATGTAATGGAAAGGGGTCACAAACAGAATAAGAGTACTTCTTTTAAAAAAAAAGTCAAGAAAAATACCCAAACAGAATATATAAAAAGGCCAGTCTTAGGAAAGATGATTGTTGTTAACTGAGAGTTATGTGTTTAAGTATATAATTACTATTTTGCATATTTTGCCTAGTGAACTTTACTAGCATGTCCAACCCAATGAGTTACAGACAGCTAAAAATCACCACATTTAATCTTCTTAAAAATGGCAAGTGACCCTTAGATTTCCTTAAGTATGGGGGGAAACAGGAAGAAAATCTCTATGTGGATGAAAAATTTTTGTATGATTTGTTTTTCCACATACTAAAACCAGATTTTAGATATTTATTAAAAAAACCCTAACCAAACAGAAAAAACTCACACCTCTTCCCCACGCAACCCTGCCCCCCCAAACTAAAAATAAGATAAAAATTCTTCCATAAGACTTAATGAGTAGTTGCCTACAGTTGTATGTTTTGCAGCCTCCCTCAAAATCTGTCTAGTCTATCACTAATCCCCTAAATGCTTTCCTTTATGCTTTTGACTGACAACGAGCAGCACGTGCTGTGGTAGCTTTGAAGCTACTCATGGTTGACTGATCATCTGATTATTGCCCTTTAGCTGATGAGTGAAATGAGCAGAACAGCTAAAATTTGAATTAGGGCTCTAATTTAATGCAGTTCTCTATTCAGTCATTGTAGTTCACAAAGTTCAGAGTTAAATTTGTGAAACCTTAACCTCATAAATTTGTTGAAGTGGTCCAGTGAATGGAAAAGTCATGGCAGGAAGAATGAAGGACTGACAAAAGAGGATGGACAAACAGGGAGTGTGATATACGTTGTTTGCTTTTTTAGGAAAACAAGAAAAAGCAAAGACAAAACGTAGATACTTTCTAATCTGTTATGTAACCTCTGAAATAATATAACCTTACTGGAAATAATTATCTTAAAATTGGACACTGGTTTGAAATACTAAGATTCTTATATCTCTAAGTGTAGACTTATCATTTGTTCTTTTGGGCAACTTTGAATCTCTAATTAATCTTTGAATTAATGCAGCTTCTGTCCTTACAGTGTAGTGCTGCTCCCATTTTTGCTTTCCCATAACAGCACAGAAAGTGATTAGGAGGGATTCAGAAGAGGCAATTGAAAATCTGAATAACTGACTTGTGAAAGATTTAATGAACTGAATTTATTTGCATATCGAAGTGAAAATGAAATTTAGTTAAGAATAACACATACGAAGGAGATAATATTCTAGTAGTTGATGGCTTTTTAATCTAGTTGAAAAAATGGGTATATAATGTTCTGGTAATCACAACATGGCAACAGATATAGTTGGAATGAAACCCAGGAACACATTCATAGCTATGCTGTAAGTTAAGTTTACCATGGGAACAACCCACTTAAGGATGCAGTGAATGATTTGTCATTATCCAAAATCAGGGGAAAAATTAATTTAATCCTACATTTTTAAAGAATCATGAATTGGAGTCAAGGCTATTCAGAAGGTGAGTAAAAAATATTTCAAAGTCAAACATAGTTATGATATACACTGATTACTGCGTGTTTCTGAAGTATGGTAATATCGCAGGTTTTTTATTTTCCCCTGGAGTCAGCTCAGTTAATAATTATTGTTTCTAAATCTGACATGTTTTCTACATTGTTGTGGAAATTGAAAGACTTTGTAGGCTAGTGATGAATACTGTAGTTGTCAGATTTTTTCTTTTTTCATCTGATAGGTGGTAGATATTGATATTTCATCATGTCTGCTTTTGGGGCTGCTCTTAGCAGATTGTTCCTCAATGCAAGAAAAGAGGGTCCTGTCCGCCACTGTGTGATGTCACTAGATAACGTAGACAAGACAGGACAAGTCTTTGCTGAGATGAGATGAGATTAGATTAGATACTGTTTTGTGCTTTCCAAAAAGGACAGCTCTTGCTTTTAATTTTATCTTTGTCTAGACTGTGCTTCCAATGGCAACAGCCCCAGCATTGAAGCACTTTACAGCAGGTGCTGGGACAAAGTTACTTTCAGGAATGGAGTTGTCAGACACAATGCATTTTTGTGGTCCACAAAGAAGGGAAAGATCTGGCAAGTGTTTTCTTGGGATCCCTGTTGAGATTGGCAGTTGCAAGTTTACTGTCCAAGAAAGACCAAAATATTCTAGATTGTAAAAATTCAGACTTTTTAAATACCCTTTTTCCCCCCAGCAGTACACTTTGATTTGTTTTGGAATTTGCACTGGTGTTAGGTGGAAATATAAATTTCAGAGGCATTTGTGCAACATACTGCTAAAGAAAGGCTTAGATGCTTCACTCTGTTTCTCTTGTGATTTTTCTCTTGACTAGAGGTCAAGCAAAACAATATTTCATAGGACAAGCCCATTTATTTTTCTATCACAGTGCCAGTTTTCACTAAAAAGGGAAAACCAGATAATCTGATACATTGTAGATGGCACAAAATCAGTAACCAGTATAACTGATAAGAGAGATCATCAGAGACGCTGGTGATAGGAACTTCTGCTTGAGCAGAATAGCAGACTAGGGAAGGTGTCTTCAGTATATCCCTCTGAATGTCAGGCATAACAACTGATGCAGTATTCCAATGATGTCTAGTAAGTAGATCAATAACTTCTTTAGAAGAGCTTCTAAAACTCTAAAAGATGGAAGGAAAAGGCAGACATAATAAAGTCTTTAGCACAGAACATGAAACCAGTGTCTTCTCTCTGTTTTTTTTAAGATCCACTTTTTTACAAAACTCATTGCAGATGATAATTTAGGCCCTGCAGTGCAAAAAAAAAAAAAAAAAAAAAAAAGAAAAAGTTGGTTTTCTGCAGGAGGAGATCAAAGTTTTGCCAATATGAGTACAATAAGAAAAATATACTTACTTGGAAGCTAAGGGAAGAGAGGATTGTCCCACTTGGGTGAAACTGGAATACATAGTGAAATTATATCATCTCTTCTGGAGGTCCTATTGGAAACAAGTTTCCTGATTTATATTTTTAAAGGTTTAATTACTTTACATTATATTTGTTATGGGGCCTTCTGTTTTGTTACTTTTCAGAATATAAAGCCACATTTCTGCTGATGTCAAAAAAGTTATTAGTTTACCTGTACAACCTTGGCAAATGGTAATTCAATAGTATAGCTGCAAAAGGCTCCTAGAGTGGTTGGAAAAATTAAATTTTACTCAAACTAAACATTCTTTTAGACAGGTTTAACCCACTGATGCACTGAGGCAAACCCTGAACATCCAGTGTGAAAGTTTATGCCCTTTGAATGCTGTAAAAAAGTTTCCCCCTCAATTTACTACTACATTAATGAAGCAGAAGCAGCAAAGTGAACAGTTCTACATCTGCAATACAAATCTGATAACTTTTCCTATATCTTCTTATGCACTATAACTTGAATTGTATATGCTGTTGCAGGTTGCCTCCTTCTTTTAGGTGATTTATTCTTTTTTAATCAAAGGTTTTTTAAGTAATCCTTTTTTATCAGAGGAAAGCACCTTCAATCACAGCTCATTTAAACTTTCATCCTTTGAGATGTTCTTAAATACACAAAATCAGTATGTAATATATGGAAGATTTGCCTGTGGTAAAAGGTTAAGAAAAAGAATTTTTCTCCTAGATGTTGACATAAACACTTGCAGGTGAAATATCTTTCAAGATATTTTGTGTCACACTTGAAGTCACATTGTGTGATATAATAATCAATAAAGACCATGATGATAATCACTTCATTCCATCTGTATCAGTGTTTATGGACATTGTAGCAGCCAAAGGAAGATTCATGAGCAGAGTTGGTCAGCTGTGGTTATCAGAGTGTTTTATTCTGCAAGCGTTTTCCTTTTCCATCTAAAATTATAACATCGAAAGCATTGTTTAATTTAATGTAAAAAGAGAAAGATATAATGCGTTTGTTGCAGGTATTTTCTTTTTTTACCTGTAAGAAAGCTACTGTCAAGCATTCACTGTGCTTGAGAAGCTTTGTTTCTCTGAAGTCTGTGATGAGATCTGAGATACATACTAATTGTGGAATAAATCTTAAAAAAAAGTTGTTGAAGTGTAGAGAACTCCAATCAGCTTCAAAAAGGATTGAGAGTTTTAAGAAATGCTGTTATGTGAATGTAGTGGCAAAGTATTTACGTTTGTGGACTCTGAGGGATTCTGCAAAATGCTTTGTTGTGTTCCACAGAAAAGGATCTCAAACAACTCCCCCCAATATCTTAGGGTGTTTAGTTGGTCTTACTTTAGTTCATTCTGAGACTTTCATACATTTTACATAACGGAAATCAAAACAAGTTAAACTGGTGTGATTTTTTTACTCTTAAAAACAACAGGAAGGTGTACAGTGCTCTAAACTACAAGGGTTTATATGACACTGTTAGTGTGGCATTGGCTGATAAATCCATAATAATGTCGTTTTTGGTCCTGTAAGTACAAAAAAGTACACGCATAAGGGATGGGCTTGATGTTGTTTCCCTACTGAAAATCATGTAATGGAAAGTTACTGAAGAATAGTCCACTGAAAAAGCCTGTATTTTTTTCTTTATAATATCCTGCGCTTTCTAGTGTAATTTAATTTAATCTTGTATTCTAAGATGTTATTTCTACAAAACAATTTTTCTTTGCAAATCATTCAGTGAAGTTGCCATAGAATCATACAATAGTTTGGGTTGGAAACAACCTTTAAAAGTCATCTCTAAACAGGAAGAGAGTAGGCAAAGTTATTAAATCATGTGGAAAATTATGTTTGAAATATAAATTTTTAAAGCAAAAAGCATTATAATTACTTTCCTCAAATATTTTTATATCTGCATCATAGAAAATGAACTTAATTTATCCTGCATTATTTTATAGATTTTTCTGGAAATGATGTTGGGAATTAAGCTCGTAATACTGGCTGCAGCCATTGTGTGATGTTTGGAACAAGCTCTGGAAACCCACTTAGAATGTCTTGGCCAGAAAAGGTAAGAATTGAAAATTTTTTTTTTTTTATCCTTTTTCTATGTTTAGCTGTTCTAAAGAGTAAAGGCATGATGGAATAAAGGCCGTAGACACTCCATATGAGAAGGGTGTTACAGTCTCACTCGGTGATGACCACAGAGGTGGTAAATGGGTTTAACCAGAAATTACAGGGCATTTAGTCTTTTTTTAACCAACTGTAGTTCATACTTTAAACTGTAGGCACATCCAGAAAGCCAGGCAAGGACCTAGCTCCAACTTAGTAACTTTGTGTTTATGACTTAAGCTGAGGGGAATATCTCTTTTTTCTTTGGGGGTAAAATGGGTCTTTTTTTGGAATATAGAAATCAATTTTGAGAGAAAATAGTAGGCACGCTGCTGGAAGAGATGATTTTATGAAATATAAGCATAAGGTTAATTTTCAGTAGATCTGTTTATTGTTTTTGGTCTGTTTCCATAGCAGCGTCAAAATACATATTTTTAACTAGAAATTATTAAGTTATAATGGCTTTAATAATTACAAGTTAATGGAACATCATATTATGTCGTATTATATTCCTGTAAACCTATTGCATTTTACCCTTACATTTTTTATCTCTATTTCAAAATACTTATTAGAAATAGTTAACTATAGAAAAAATAATCCTAGTGATGTATGAAGTCAGATGTAGGTTCAACCCTCCTAATTTTCATCTTGTAGACTTCATTTGCATAACAAAAGATTTATGTTTTTACATGGACCTGTAAATAGAGATGTTGAAAAGAGTCAATTATGCAATAAGAGTTTTATTGAGATCTCAAATAGCAGCACAGGACAAAAATATTTCCCTGTAAAATTAATGCACATCTTGGAGAGTCCGCAGACCAGATCCGGCCTGTGAAACATATATGGATTGAAATGGAAGAAAAAGTCCTTTTAAAATGTAGGAAAGACTCTAATACAGGACCTCAAATATATATATAAAAAATACAGCAAATTGTACTCCTGAACAGCAAATACATGGTTCTGATATAAACTGAATGACTTTTCCTTTTGCAGATAGAAAGTGAGCAAGATCGATTTGTTTGTGCTGGCTTAATCACCCACAGAGTATCGCTGCTAACAAGAGAAAGGGCCATACATACTGAGAAGACCATAAGGGGAGAGACCAGAAGACATGTATAGTGCAGAGAACAATGTTCATTTAAGACTGTGATGTTTCTGCGACAAAATCTCAGGACGTTCTGAGATTTTTATATCACTAATGATTGTTTTAGGTTGTTTAAAAAAAAGCAATAGGAGCGAAAAAACTTGTAATATTATGTCTTGTTTATATGAAAATATATGGAATCACTAAAAAAAGGATTTGGGAAGTTCACATATGAACAATATGCATTAATGAACAATAATACATTAAATTAATCCAGAGGAAAAGGTAATGATTATCACTTTATGAAGTGATCCTGCAATGTAAAATTCAGCTGCTTAAGTAATCTTTTAATAAGAGACTTCATTCTAATTATTGTAGTTCTAAATTTTACCAGTTCTAAAATTTTACCAGAGAAGACTTTCATCTGGGAACTTATTGCTCTATTGCTTATTCCTTGTCTGATAGCTAAACCCTATGACTACTAATAAGAGCCTCAGTTTAAATACTTTGAGGAAGAAAAATCCAAAACATTTTCAGTAGTGAAACAAGCCAGTTCCTAACAGTAGATGTCATTCTATCTCTATTTTAGTGCCAGTGCCTACTGTTCTCATTATGTTTTTTCAATTAATAAATTGCAGGTGGAAATGAGTAAACATTTATGTTTAACTTTCTTCTGATTAATTCACAAGTCTGTATCTTTCTTTTCAGTAATGTAAGGTGTCAGAGTGTGAAATTGGAAGTTCCTGAATGCAACTGAGGCTGATAAGCTTTTGTCTTTTAGTCACTCATCCATTAGTACTATTTAATTTATTTATTTGTTTGTACAAGGGATTTGTAAGCTTTGCATTTTGCCTGGTTTTTCTTTCTTTCCTTTCTCTTTTTCTTTACAATTTCCTTTTTCTTTCTGATCAGATTTGCTTGATGCTGCTCCCATAGTTCTTCTTTCACTTCTTAGGATGTCAAGGCCGCATAGAAGAAGAGGGCTGTAACCCTGGGGAGACACACAGACTGCTGCCCAGAATCACACAAGAGAAAGGTCTGAGACCACATGGAAAGAGAGGTTTGGTATTTGTTTTCCGAATAACCATACTGTTAATTAGAACCCGAATAACAGATCCCTCCTGGCAAGTGTAGCAAATGGAAAGAATTCAATTTACAGTAAGGATTTTGCAGTCTTGCTAAGCTAAGTGATTTAAATTAGTAATTTAATTTCTTTCCACAGATACATAGTGACTGTCTTGAGGATAATGTGGGCAGAGGGCCAAAACATTGAGGCTTTGAGGAGACTAAATTGCACTACCTTTTTAATGCTCACAACGGCATGTTCTAGTGAAAGTACGAAGAAGCAGACAGGCAGTTCATTCAATAGCTGGAGTAGCTCAGGTACCAGGACTGTCAATCTCTTTGGAAGCCACTCTTTCATTTGGTCCTGTCCTGGTAACATAGGGACCCCATGTGTTTTGTTAGCTGCTGAGCTGAGGCAGCTGAGGCAGATGCTCTTCAACATACTTGAACTGGGCTTCAGCACCAAACTTACAATCCATGGTCCTAAAGGAGTTCTTACAGTGTCAAAGTAAAAATACCTGATTTTTTGAAGAATCAATAACAAACAGGGGAATGGATGAAAACCAGGACTAATGGGTGAACTTTAAGATGGGAGAATCTTAATTGGTTTACAAAAGTAAGGTTTTAAATAAGGGTGGAAGAATAAAAACTGTAAAATCCTCCCAGAGTTGCATTATATTTAAAGTCTTCCTGTTGCACCTCTTCTCAAAGGGCTTACAATACACATTACCTTTGAACTCACAAAGGTTAGGCTGAATGGCAGTCTTAATATCTTGGCTTGGATCTTATCAGTGCCACTGCAGTTTTTCTCCTGGCAGTCACTGAAGTGTAGTCAGGTGGGTGATAGTGGCAAAAATTAATCTTCAGATGCTCGAAAGGATTCCAATGCTATGTGTGTTCTGGGTAATATATGCAGAGAATTAACAGTTACAAACTGCTGGTCTGGGTCTGGCTCTTCCTGTTGTACTTGGTGCTCTATGACAACCCATCCTAGTTTCCCATACATGTTAATACCACACTAATATCACACCAGTACCACACTGTTACTGGAAAGAATTTGACACAGCAGAATTGCATTTCCTCTGGATCTTGGATAATTTTTCATCATAGTGAACTACCATTAAAGCTAATAAGAAGCAACACAGGGTGCAGGAAGCCACAAGTGTTCATGGTACCATGTGTCCTATTAATGTTCATGGTAAAAAATCACAGTAAAGTGCTACTGCAGTCACTGGTGGAAAAAGAGTAACAAATCCACGGTCAACAAGTGATAAGAAAACAAGGAAAAGAGAGACTGATAATGTTTTTATAGGTATTGACCAGCAAAATATCTATCTACTAAATCTTGATACTGTTTGAATAGCTGAGGAAGTCAGTTATATAAGCAGGTAAAATAAATACTATTCATTTCTACCTGTCTAAAGAGAAACAAAGAAATAAAGGAAACAAGTATGATGGGGAAGTTAAAATGAACTGAAGAATATAAAGACACTATGAATAGAAGGAATCAAATGCCAGTCAGTTTAAATCTGTCTTGGACAACTACAAGGAAGAGCGTGGAAACAAGTCACTCTGAACCTGTCAAGGAAATAAGAAAAAGGTTCAGGAACCAGTGATTATGGCAAAGGGTCTAAAGGACTAAAGATGTTAGATTAGATATTAGCACCAAAAAGAATGAATTTGCATTTTACCTTTTAAGCTGTGAGTCACTTTGCTAAAGGGTCATTGTCCAGACAGTTTGAATGTGCCCAGCAGACAGAGAATACCAAAAGGGAGTAGAAATTTGCATCATGTCTGTGTCACGACAAACGAAAATGTAAAGATAGTAACTACTCAGGGGATCTTTTCAATATGTGCCAAAAGAACATTACTCAAAATTTGTACTGGGATGTGACTTGTGACTGACAAAATCTTTAGTAATGAGTATGTCTACTCATTGAGTGGAATATGCTGTATCTCATTGCTTTCTATCCTTTATAGAAAGGTTGAAAGAGGAGAGGGTTGAGAAGAGCATGGAAAGTGCAAATTTGTACTCTGCAAGGTGCAAAGGAAAGAAGGGAAGCCTCTAATAATTTCCAAATTCTTTTTTCATCCACATGAATCATGTCACAAAACACTGAGTTTGTGTACTCTCGGGTAAGGGAAGAGAAGACATGCAGCTATTTCTGCTTTAATCTGTCACCTAACCCCGTTAAAAGGTCAGGATAAATGGCCTTCACAGAAATTGGGCAGTCCGACTGGGATGGCATCAGAGCAGCCTTTAGTGAAAAATAGGGGCTTAGGGAGAGGATGACTGTTCAGCTGCTTTTTCACAAAATTGTGAACCTGGCAGTGCAGCAAGCCCCATCCTTCTCACATTGCACCTTCTGCACAGCCCTGCTCCTGTAAGGACCATCAGGATAACAGTGTTAAAGATATGTCTGCTCCATATACCTGTGGCTCAGCTCAGTTTGAAACACTTGAAAGTGAAGAAAAAAACCCTTGCAGTAGGATTCCTCAGGAAGCTGTTTTTCTGCACAATCTGATGCACAGGGAGTTATTTTACTTCTGAGGAGGGGTCACAGGAATAGAAGGAGGCTGACTAGAAGGGCTGCTGCTCTTCTTACACCTTTCTTTGCATTTTCATTGAGCTTACACTGAAGTGGAATTCACAGGTTTTCAGATATGCCCAACTCTCTGTACCTGTGGGAAAGTATGCAATATATTATCATCTAGAGGTGATAACAACCTAGTAAGGCATCCCACTATGTACTTCAATTACAAAGTCAAAGCAAGCCATTCATTCACCTCTCCTTCCTCCTTTCCACTTCCCTCTTTTTTTTTTTTTTTTTTTTGTCAATGTAATACAATTGATCTGATTAGACTCAAGGAAAAATAAGTGATCAGCAGAAACACCATTACATCAGATGAAGACCTTGTCCTTTCTAAAGTGATTATTTTCAGTTCAATGTAGAAGTGATATGTTCTACTTCTTCACATGAAAATTTCTTCTTCACATCAGTAAGCCTGAATCACCATTGTATGTGTCCAGTGGTGGACTGATGTGTGGACAGATTCCGTATTTCATTTTACTCAATGAAAGTCAAACCCCGGTACTGCCTGTTAACTACCACTAGTTTTGTTTATTCATTTTGTTTTCTGTGCAAAGGTGATATTTTTAAATAAGAAGTCTTTTTTGTAAACATAACTTGTCGTGCTGCCCAGCTAGTCTGAAGCAGGTCTTTACCCAATACCCATAACCAAAAAAGGGATCTATCCACATTTGCATGTTTTACTATTTACTTTATTAATAATTTTTAGCAAAGAAATTATTTATGCTTTTCTGTGTTGTTTTTTAGCTTTTTATGATGCACTAGAATTAGAATTTCAGTAGGCAAAAAGTATATTATTTTTTTGGTAAATAGCTTACCATTATTTTAAGTAGAGTTTAAATGTTGTGAAAGAAGTAATTTTGGAATACTGCTATAATTGTTATACTTCATTTTTTAGAAAAATATTAAGAATAAGCATCTGAGGCTCCCAGATTTTTTCTTAAATTTTAGAGCTGACTTGTTATCTATTAATTATATTGTGTAGGCTTTATGCCTAAAATGTGAACTGTAATAATTAGGGTTTGTTTCCCCCATTTCTTTTATGGGGAGAAATACAGTAACCTTCTGATGTTCTTGAATTTTTTAGCTGGTTTTTTTGCTATGTATAAGTAACCTGAAGAAATTACACCATTTACATTCTCATTCCAAAAAAAAAAAAAAAAGACATATACATTTAGGTGTCTTTTAGTTTTGGTCACAGGCTAGTTGTGGGTATGAGAATGTTCTGTGTATAATAAAATATCTGTAAAGGACCAGCAGCTATTCAAAATTACTCTGCTTGAAATAAGCAACAGAAAGGTCACACTTGAGATAATAAATATTCATGTAATTAGGTTATATGTAGCTACACAAAATATAATAGCACCAATCACTACAAGTGATTGCAATGTTTTCATTGAATTCAGTGATAACTGAGAGAGGAAGAATATTGCTAAGTGGAACATGCTCTTTGAATACCTGGTGGTATTTAGGAGTGACTGTTTAAGCTGTTGGGATCATTTAAATCTGTAAGAGAACTGTAAAGGAGTTTTGGAACAGACCAGGCAATGATTAAGCACCTGTGCCTGCTCAGGCAGACTTGCCATCATTGCAGAGAGTGGAAGGATCAAATGGGTCACCACAGAAGGGTTTGAAGGGAGAAAATACATGATGGGTTTTGATTGTCTTATGAACATATGGCATTCATAAAAGCCATGAAAAAAAATGTTTTGGTATATTGGACACGAGTAAGGTCAATTTAATAAGGTTCTCATCAGAGAAACTGAAAAATGTTGAATGGGGTGGCTAAATGCAAACAATTTCTATTTAGAGGTAGTAATATCTTTCAATTTCATCTTGTTTCATAATGTTGGAATGTGAAGAAATTCTAGTTTCTGCTTTGAGAGACTGTTAATTTAAATGAAATAGTGAGCTATTTTTATAGAGAAATTTCCCTCTTTAACTGTGTTGAATTACAGTTATAATCAGATTATAGCTCCTTTCATTGTTTTCTACTCTCAGAAGTGTGAATTAATTTAAGATCTCCAGTAATTATTTCCTCTTGTCTAGTGCTTCTTTATTTTCTTAAAAGCAAAGCATAATGAAAAACTATGTAATATGTCAGCATGCATATTTAATTCAAAGACTGTTTGCTCCTGTTTGACCAAAACTATTAGAGCACAGAATATACTAAGAGAAGATGTCTCTTTTTATTGTTCTCATGCTGAATCGTTGTTAAGATGATGTCATAAAAAATGCCTTAGAATCTCCCCTACTCACTATCTGCAGCAAGGGCTGTCAAACTTATTTGAGCTCTTCAAACTATTACAGTGACAGGAAGTTTCTGAACTGAAGGCCTCCTCTCTTGGGGCGCAGTATGAGTAGCACGTTTGAATTACTAATCAT